TGCTTGGCGTTCAACAATAAGGAATAGAGCAAACGTCGATCTGGTGCTGCTCAGTGGCTGCTGGGCTCACGATCAATTGGGCAAAAAGAATTTCCGTTTTGGGGTTAACTTAATGAAATTTGAAGTGGACTTTAAAAGATTATTATTAAACCAGTCTGTTGTATAATGTCACCTTATATGTATATGCGATCAATTAATGTATCACTTCTTGTGTAATGACTTTACCATTGTTTGATGGACAATAATGGGTTATTTATGTCGGGAATATGTCATTGTTTATGTGGGTAAGTTATCAGGGTAATATTATGTCTGGTACAAAAGTTAACCTCATGGATTACAAGACGATGTACAGATCTTTAGAATAGAAAAATTGAATAATGAATGCATTAAAAGCAGTACTCTTTCTAGATTTTTTAAAATAGTGTTCATACATGTTTGTTCACAATTATAGTCAATCAGGTTTGCTATTGAAATGTCCATTCTATGAGCTAGTTCTCTGGGCCCTGTTTCACAAAACTTGTTATCAATAACAAGTTACAATATCTGTTATAAGCTACTGAAATCATGGCATTTGATTGGTTGATGGCAAACTTGTCACAGAAATTAAGCATTCCTTATTGATGATACGTTTTATGAAACAGGGCCTTGGTTGATGATAAGTATATAGTGTGTGTGTGTGTAGGGTCTGATGTACATGTAGGTTCCTGGTGGTGTCATTTTATGTTGACTTTGTGTGTATACGCTTCATACGGTCAAACCTGTCTTAGTGACCACCTCTCTACAGTGTTCACCTATGTGATCTCCCTCTAGGAAGAGATGTGTGTTGTAGAACCTGTGTAGAAAGGCCACCTGTCTACTGTGCCAACTTTTAGTGTTTCCCTGTGATGGCCTTAATAGACAGGTTTGACTGTAGTTATAAATGTTGCCAAAAGAAGGGGTGATTTTCTGACGTTTTAAAAACAAGATATCCAGTACCGGTATGTCATTTTTAAAAGAGCAGGACATTTTATGAAAAAGGATCATATATTTCAAAGAGGAATCTGTAACTCAGATGGCATGGTGAATTCTGTGAAAAAAGGTATTTTTTGTAAATTTGAACTTGCTATGCCAAAAGTAGGGTCATATGTACAGACAATTTTGTGTCTTCTTTTAGGCGGAAAGGGGTCATCTTTTGTTGAAAAATGGTCTTAGAATTAATGAAACACCGGGTAGGCGGTCAATTTTTTTTTGCATTTCCTCTTTAAATATGAAGTGACATCACCAGGTATAGCTTGTATGATCCAGTCATGAACGCTTTATTTCTAGTACCTCTCTGCACCGAAAATGATGTCCAGATAAATTTTGCTGAGAAATGATTGGATCACAATGTGTTGATGGGATTTATGTAACTTGGTCTTGTAATATGATATGCAACTAGAGGGTTGGAAAAACATGCGTTTTGACACCTTAAAAATATATTGTTTGTATTTAGTTAGTAACACTTGCCATTTATACTAGTACACTATAGTTTGCCTGTTTTTAGCATGATTTTTGTTTCTTGTAAGATTAAACCAATCAAAATAAATGAGTTTACTTGTGAAGAAATGAACTGAGATATGGATAATATGACGGTTGTTTTATAGTGACTTCATATCTTCAGTTTCAATGTTACTTATCATTTCTTTGGAGTTGAAGCAATTTCTTTCAGATCATCTTGATTGATGCACTTTTCTTCATCTTGAGGATTCAGATCAGATTGTCTGATTTGGATTAACACTGAACAGTTAGAGATTATATATATATATTTTTTTTTTCTTTTTGTAGTTAGCTTTCTTATTACCCTAACCTGCCTCTTGATTCCTCTCAGCTACCATCTTTTTTCTCCTCAGATTTTTGGTCTCTCTCTCTCTATCTCTCTCTCTCTCTCTCTCTCTCTTTCTTGCTCCTTTCTTTATTTCTCAGCTACCATTTTTTTTCTCCTCAGATTTTTGGTCTCTCTCTCTCTTTTTTGCTCCTTTCTTTATTTTCATTTTTTTTTCTCTCCCTCTCCTGATCTCTCTCTCTCTCTCTCTCTCTCTCTCTCTTTTTCTTCTCTTCTCGTTCATGTTCTCTCTCTCTTGCTCCTTTCTATTTTCTCTCTTTCCGTCCCTTTCTGTTTCCCTTATTAATCATTTTCTCTGCTCTTTCCTCTTTCATGTTCTCTCTCTCACTCTCTCTTTCTAGCTGAAACCAACCATCAACTTAATGCAGTGTTTACAGACCTACCATAGACAGTTTATATCATGTGGGTGTATATATACAGAATTGTAGTTGTACATGATGCAATGTAGAACCTTTTTATATTATGAATGAAGCAAGGTAGTGTGTGGTTTATAAACCACTCCCGAGGTGTGTACTATATATATAGTATCTAGGCTGGCTCCCAGTCACCATGAATTATTTCTCCATTCTCTGGAAATAATCTGAAGTCCATTGTGCATGGACATGTATATATACAAACCTCTTACACTTTGTAAAGTCGTGTGAGAGACGTTGAGTGTTTTAGCCCAGATATAATGTTCACTGAGCAGGGAGATAAAATCATTGAGTCTGGAAACCAGACTAAGTGATGGTGCAGAAGGGTAGATGTATTTATAATGAGATTTATATGCAGTACAATATCATTTAATGCTCCTTTATGGGACGTGTGTAATGTGGTAATAGATGATTATTATGTCATGTTAAGACTGACAAAAATGAATTCAAAATAAAAATGCAGAAGATATCAATCTTGTCTTGTTTAGTTTCTTATTTACATATCTTACTTTCTTTTTTTCAATTTCTTTTCCATAAACATTATTGGATACCTGTTGAACTCAAAAGGAACCAAAAAGTCCATACTAAGTTACTTTTATTGTAAAGTTTAAAAGATTTTAATAAAACCAATGGAAATTTGAACAAAATCAGGCCAGGAACAAGTTAATTAATTTTTTGAAATAGCATGCCAACAGAGGGCAATATTTAATTTGATGACACCATTTATGGACAACTCTCCATGCCTTCTGACCTTGAGGTTTCATAATTCTATCATTTTCTTCATTTTTATTCATGTAGAATAGTATCCAGCATACTATATCTGATATCCAGGGGAGTAGATTATCTCAATCATAAGAAAACATAAATTTAAAGTACAGAAGGCAAGGAAAGTTGTCCATAAATGGCAAGGGTCCTTTTATTATGACAAGTGCCTCCTTTTTCTTTCTAATAAGTGCCCATTTTCACCTCTGACAACTGCCCCTATCAAAATCTTATAGGTGCCCCTTTTCCTTCGATCGACAAGTGCCCTTTCCCTTTACAGTAAGTGCCCCTTTTTTAATCTGTGGTGAGTGCCCCTTTCACCTCTGATAATATGTCCCTAGTCATATCTTAGACATGACCACTTTACTTTGACAAGTGTCACTTTTCCTTAGTAAAGATCGAGTGTCCTTTCCCCTTCTGATAAATGCTCCTGTTCATTTTATTATGACTTGTACCCTCTTTTCGTCTCAATTAAGTTCCCCTTTTTGTAAATTCTGATAATAGCCTCTTTTCCATTTTATTAAGACCCCCTTCCTCTTCTCTATCATTTTGACACGTGCCCATTTTCCTTTTGACAAATGCCCCTATCCCTTTTACTTCGACAAATAAGCCTTAATAATTAATCATACTTTTCTATTCTCATCTATGCCTTTTCTCTTCTCTGGTAAAAGCTCCTTATCAGGTGCGAGAAGTGCCCCTTTTCACCCCTGATGATTGCCTCCCTTACTTTGACTAGTGCTTCTTTTCTTTCCAATAATTTTGTTTTTCCTTTTGATAAGTTACCCCCATTGGCGTATCGAGGGGGTATTTTGAATGTTCAAACACCCCCACCCTTGGCAAATGTTTTTATTTTTTATTTTTTTAAGGTGTTATAGAATATAAAAAAACACCCTTTATCTGTGTTTTAATATATGCCCCCCCCCCCCTGGTGGTAAAAACAAAAATGTTTGTTTTGCTAAAGTGGGGGGGGGGGGTGGATGTTGAGGGGGGGGAGGAGTGATCCCCCCCCCCCCCCCCCAAGGGGAATGAGCCAAAACAAAATGTGCTTGGAAAAGAGTATCTTGGACCGTGTAAAGATCGAGAAAAACAAATATTGAAAATCTGTTTCAGGACAATCACCCTCCGAGAGATAAGCACCACCCCCCCCCCCTCCCCCTCCCGAGCGAGGACAGTTAACCCCCGAAAAAATAAAATTATCAGGGTGGACTTCCCTTTTAATGGACATAGGGGGGGGGGGGGTCGTAATTGTCCTAGGGGGGGGGGATTTTCTGGAGGTATTGTCCTCGAGGGGAGGCGGGTTGCCTGGGGGGGGGGGTATTTTCCTGGGATAATTGTCCTTGAGTGTAGTTTTCTGGGAGGTTATTGGCAGGGGGAAATTGTCCTAGAACCAGTGTTTGCAGAAGAAAAATATTCACCTATAAACAATATTATAGCCACATTAACATCGCAAATCTCGGCCAGCTTGCATATTAATGTCCAATGATTTATTTTCTTTTCCACAATGATTTATTTCTTCCAGAGATTAAAAAAAGGGTTTGATAAAAAGAAGAAGAAGAAAGATGCCCGGGATGGATGACACTCGAGCGATGCGGCCTGACTGTTTGCTCCCCGTTTGCTCATGACTGTGCTGAAAAACTCGCGATCGAGGACAAAGCAATATGGCGGCGTGTGCTCTCGAGCGTATTCACCAGCGCGTTTGACGGCTACATGTCACTCTGTGTATTGTGAAGAGGATCCGCGTTCTATGTATCTTCATTTCTGTGGCCCCATGTTCTTGTCGTTATTTCGCTGATGACCCAATCTATATCTTTTCGAACATATCTGATAAGGCTGGCGTACGTATCAGCGGAAACTTGTCAGAATCGTATACTTGATCGATCGAATATACTGTAGGGGGATAATTCACATAAAGAGAATCTTTCATTTTAACAAGAAATATTTCAATAGAAGATAGAGTAAAAAAAATATGATATAGTATAAATTCTAGCATACAGCTTTTAAAATAAGTTATGAATTAACTTAAAACAAACTTGATTAATTATTATTCCATTATCCATGGCCCCCACAAAATAATAGAATCGTCCGACATACTGCAACCTTGCGACGAGACGCTAAATCCTTTTGCGAACCAAATCTGTCTGAAATCATCTCTAAATTTCACCATGGGATGTTGTTTTTCTGGAGGCGATGGAAAACTGGCTGAACAAGAAGAACCGGCTCCTCAATTTAGTTGGTATGTTTTATTTGAATTGAATCGGTTTTCAGGGAAATGTTACATTACATGATCATGTTGTACATGCGAAGCATCTCTGCTAAATTTTGAGGTGGCTTATTTACAATTCACTTACCGGTAGGCCTAGGGCTTTAGCTTTTTTTCAGGGACCTGGGGACCCACTGAAGAGTGATGTGTCTGATTATGTCTGATGAATTTAAGTTACACATTGTCACACGATTTATAATCAATTATTCAATATCATTGATATAATGAGACTAGATTCTAGATATCTAGATCAACTCGTATGAAAATCATAGACGGTTGAAACTTGAATAGAAATGCTGACATTTATTTCAGGCAGTTTCATGATATTGTCAAGTTCAATTTGTGTTTATTTAGTCTAGAACTGGCCGCTACTTCAGAAGTCTGTCCAAAATTTTGACCTGTAACTCCGGCGTGCAGATACCTTACTAAAACATACCCAATATGAAGTAAATATTCATCAAATGTCCAAATAAATGGTCATGATTTAAAAGTTGATATATGTTGTTACCTCAGGCCCAGCCAGGGCTGTTTCGTGTCAATCTTCTTATCTTTTTCAGAGTATTTTTCCTAAAAACAGAGACTTATTAGACCTATAAACACTTTCTCACGGTATTCACTGTAAACTGCTGCACAATACAATTGCATACGGGATGCGGGCGTGCGCGTGTGTTAAGTTAGAGACCGTATTGATTACGAGGGATCTGTAAACAAAACCTTAAATGCATTCGTTATTCCCATTCCTGCACTCTAAAAATTATACATTGCACACTGGGCCTGGCTTAGAAGTTCGCTAGTGAGTAGTGAACTCTTCTTTCTACTCATACTAACTGAGCACTTTGAAATCAGACAAGAATAGAATTTTACCAAAAATGTATGAGATTTTGATAACGAAGTGATAACGAATTGAATTTACATTTGTATATTTTTTTTTCTTTGACATTATTTTCTGTGTTATCCCTTCAATTGTTGTCATTTCATTTCTTCTTTCTTCCTTCCAATCTAAGGTTGCATTATTCATTGTATTATATTAATATTGTTTGAATCATCTGTCCCTCCATGAACTATTTTACTATTTTACTCATTTTAATTTGATTCCAAAATACTCTCATACCTTAATACCTCTATTTCAATTCGCTCTTTTTTCCCTTTTATCCATAAGTTTACTTTCTTCATCTCTCTCACTCTCTGTACATCTCTCTACGCTCTCTCTCTCTATCTATCTATACATGTATATATCTCTGTATGTCTCTCTCTCTCTTACAATCTCTTTCTCTTCTTCTTCTTTGCCACTCTGCCTTTCTTACCTTTTCCCTTCTCCCCTTTACATTCTCTTTTTTCTTGCTCCTGTCCCAATCTCTCCTTTTCTCCTTTCTATCTCTCCTCTCACACACCTTTTTCAATTTTTTCATTTCAATCTTTATTCCAATTCATAAAAATACAACAACATCAAATATAAAACACAATAGCATTATATACAACATTTAGTAAAAATGGTACAAAAAATAAATACATAAGTTTCATAATAATATTGTAAAAATGAATGGAAAAGGAGGCGTACGTAAAAAGCCAAGGGTAGGCTTGTAAGAGTGTACGACCCTACAATTTAAATAATGTATGAATATATATTGCAAAAAAATAACAAGTACCAACAATACTGTATCATCATATACCAAAACACAAAATAAAAAATCAACAAAAACAACAACAACAAAAAAATCAATAATTTCCAATCAAATATTTTTTATTGCCTTTTAAATGAGTTATTAAATTGAATATTAAAGTTACTTAAATTTAGACTATTCCAAAGGATTGGGCCTGTGTGGCGTAATGAGTATTTTGATTTATTATTTAAATACGTCCAACGGTGAAAATGATTGCAAGATCTTGTATTATAATTATGGATATTTCTATTTTTTACAAACATATTCATTAAATATGGGGAGAGTGTTTGAGAGTGAAAACGTTGCATAAACGAAGCAATTTGGATCTTATTTATATCTTGTAATTTGAGAGTATATAATAATTTAAATAATGTGGAAGTAGAAGCAGTATACTCGGACTTCGTACATACTCGTATGGCTTTCTTTTGTAATATTATTAGTTTATGTAAATGGCTCGAATATGTGTTACCCCATATTGAGTTACAATACGACAAGTGTGACAAAACATAAGCATTATAAAGAAGAAATAATATGTTACTAGGCAATTCATACTTCAATCGACTTAAAATCCCTATGAATCGTGAAATCTTCAAGCGTACTAAATCAATGTGATCCTTCCAAGACAAACTACTATTTAATACTACACCTAAAAACTTAACAGAATCATAGAATTTCAAAGGAACTGCATCTATTTTCAACAATATATCATCGACATTAAATTGCACACCACCCTTTTTAAACAGAACACATTGGGTTTTACTAGTATTTAAAGAGAGCTTATTACATTTAAACCATGCTGATATGTGGGCAAGACTTGTATTCAAAGATTCAACTAAAGCTTCAATATCATTATGAGAGGCAAGGAGTGAGGTGTCATCCGCATACAAAATACAGTCACATTCATGGCAAGAATTCACAATATCATTAATATAGATTAAAAATAGTAATGGTCCAAGAATTGACCCTTGAGGGACACCTGTGTTTATATTACCGAAAGACGAATTATGTGAGTTATAAACTGTAAATTGTTGTCGATGTAATAAATAAGATTGAAACCATTTTAAGGAAAGACCTTTAATGCCATAATGCTGCATTTTTTGTAATAAAATATCGTGTGAAAGGGAGTCAAAGGCCTTGGATAGGTCCATGAATACGCCAATAACACTTTTACCTTCATTAAGTTCTTTAACTATTCTATCATGAATTTCAATGACTGCCATGTCTGTTGAGTAATTTTGTCGGAAGCCATACTGACTATCATATAAAAAGTTATGCTGCAATAAATAGTCATATAATCTATTAAAAACTAAATAGTGACTTTTCTAAATGAGAATGACTTTGATTTACTGTTATTTACCCTGTCTAAAAAGTGTGAAATATAGAAAATAGGAAAGTGGTCTGTTATGTCTGTTACAAAAATACCGGAAATAATGGAGCTACAAAAGACGTTCGTATAAATATTATCAATATTTGTTGCTGACCTTGAATTAACACGGGTTGGTCTATTTATTATAGGATAAAAACCAGATGATGCGACTGTATTGATAACACCTCTCTCTCACCTCTCTCTCACATACCCTTCTGTTTTTTGTTACTACCCCTCTCCTTTTCTCTCTCTCTCTCTCTCTCCATCTTATCCCCCCCCCCCCCCTTTTTTCCCTCCCTTCTCTTTCTTACTCTCTATGTTACCCCATCTCTCTTTTTACTCCCTTCCCATACATATCCATGTCTTCATCATACCAATTAATATTTGCATGCATGCCTTTACCTACCGACTCTACTTTGCTATTATAGTTGTATTTTCTGTCCTCTATTTTGCAGGGAGAAGAGGGAGAAACTCGACATCAAGGATTTCACATTCGCTGACAAGAAAGGAGAAGAACTTGGCAAAGTGCCAGGAAAGATAAATGGCCAACGATTCATCATAAAGAACTGTGAGGTAAGATGAAGAGCCTTTTGTTCAGCTCTGTGTCAAGATTACATTCTAATTCTGGTATCATAGAATTGTTTTATAAATAGGGAATTGCATTTAAGACTTGTAAATGTGATCTGTATAAAGATTACATTTCAATCCCAATATCATACATTATTTTGCTTTTTTTTTTCAAATCAAAAAGTGCATAAGACTTGTGAATGTGATCTGAGGCTAGTGGAATGAAAAAATTATATCGTGCAATTTGATGAAATAGGCAGAAACAGTGAGAAGAAATAAATTAAGAAATTATGGACCTTTACTTAAACAAAATAAATGATCAAATCATATGAAATTAAAATACCTGCTTGTTTTTTATTCATTTATTTGATAATTTATTTACAAAAAAACACTTTATAGTATTAAGATCATATCCTTTTAACTGATCACTGAACAGAATATTCTTGTCCCTAAGTGTTGTATCCACACTGTTAAAGAAGAAAATTCTCTCAGATGCATTATTTCTTGTATTCTTGGATTTCCTTTTTGTAGGATTGCACCATATATCTGTTTGATCACATGGCGACGATCACCGTGGATGACTGTACAAACTGCAGGATATTTGTGGGTCCAAACAAAGGAAGGTCGGTACATGGTATTTTTATTTTGCTCATGATTCACCGATCACCATTCTCTCTAACACATAGCAGTTCAGCATTTCCTTGTAGTGCTTTGAAAAGAAAAAAAAAAATCTTTTAAAATTATTTCATTCCACGATAAAAAAAGAATTACGGTATACAATCTTCTGAAAAAAAAAATCATATTTATATTTGTTTTGAGTTACTCTATTTAAGTGCCAAATTTTAAGATATTCTGTTGCTCCACTGCCGAGGTTAGGGGAGATGGAATGCCCCCCCCCCTCCCTCATCATCCATAGATAAAGTCTTGACTTGAATGCAATCATGACTGCCTGACTCTTTGAGCCAATAGAAGAGTACAATTTGAAACTAGACATGGTGCTAACAAAAAGTCTCAGATTTTAAAAAATCCTGTGACTTAGAATAACGTATGCTTGCTTTAAATATATTTCTTCTTGTTTGATTATTTGCAGTATATTCCTGAGAAACTGCAAATCCATGAAGTGTGTGATTGCCTGTCAGCAGTTCAGAACAAGAGACTGTAGAGGGGTAGATACCTTATTACACTGTGACTCCAAGCCTATCATAGAATCATCTATTAAAATGAAATTTGGCTGTTTTCAGTACTACTATCCAGAACTCTATGGTGAGTAACAGCAATAAATATATAGATACAGATTACAATTAACAATTGAATTATTCATACCCTTAACAAGTTCTGTATTGTTTTGACTAGGTGAGAAATTGATTTGACATATCAAAGCTTAAAGCTAAAAGTATTTAACAAAGGCCATACTTCTACCAGTCCAACTTTCCTTCTGGAGTTTATATGACCATTTTCACAGCAAGATGCAATGGGCAATGCAAAAACATGTTAATTGTGATTCAATGTTATCAGCATGTTTTACCTTTCGAAAATCTGAACTTCACAAACATTTCATACATCCTAATGTTTTGTGGTTGACAGAAGCGTAGATCTTGATGAATTAATGGTATTGGACTGTTCTCCTTTCTTAGACCAATTCAAGGCAGCATGATTGAAGGCTTTTAATAATACATGGAGTAGCATACATGATTATACACCAGTCTGAAGTGTAGATCTTGATGAATTAAAGATGTTTGACTGCATGTTCTCCTTTCTTAGACCAATTCAAGGCAGCTGGATTGAAGGCTTTCAATAATACATGGAGTAGCATACATGATTACACACCAGTCCCGGGCGAAGATAACTGGTCACTCTTGCCTGAGGTAAGTTAATGATGTCTGACATTTTGTAAATGAACTTTTCATTGTATTATCATTACCAAAAAATGATTACCTATGCTGAATGTGTGCTGGGCAAATACATGACTCACTTTTTATTCCATAGCGCTATCATATTTTACATGGCATTAATGTCCTTTGGCAAGGCATTAATCTACATTTGTCACTCCATACCTAGGAGAGAAATGGGGACCTGGTAGGATGATGAAAGTCTTTCTGTTGATAATTGCCATATGCCCTCACGGTGACCATATGGTAGGAGTACTCCTCAAGGAGTGGAGATGGTGCACATTGAGCGTGAGTGAATCCAATGACCAGGGTAATAATATCTTTAAATTGCTTAGAGATGGTATTTGGTATGAAAGTGACTCTGTAACATTGCCTCAGATTCCGAAACAAAATCCTGGATATAGCCCATGCTGCAATCATAATTATAAACATTTAGATCAGTCAGGAACCCCATGACTTTGACAAGCCAATCATCTGTCTGATTATCAAGATATTTATGATTTGAAATCAAAATTTCATTTTTTGTTTTCTTAACGGTTTTCATAACACTAGACCTACAGTCTATTGGGGAAAATGAGTATGGTAAAACTAGTCACTCAAAGATTTTTACTTTTTTGAGGCACTTCATGATCATTTTGAAGCGTAATTTTCTTAGGGCTACAATATTACACCATATCACAGACACTTACCGGTATAACAAGTAGGGGGAATCTTAGATTTAACATTGTTAAACGATACCTTTAAACGCGATACAAATCGAGATAATCATAATAATTCTGCTCTTTTCTTGGCTCTCTTGACAGGACCTGAATGTGGAGGAGTTCTTACCGTTACCTGCCTCAGATGAGCTAGCCTCGGTAGGAGCATCGCTAGACCCTGAGAAGAGTGTTGTACCCCTCACGCATGGAACAAGAAGACCCGTAGGAGACCTGGTAAGTCACTGATCCAACAATTGCTATGGTTTTTATTTTGTAAAAAGTACAGGGTTCGCAATGGGGTTGCTGGTTATGATTGGGGAGGTTAGGGTAAGGTTGCTGGTTATGATTGGGGAGGTTAGGGTAAGGTTTGGGGATTGTATTTAGTCAAGGATTAAAGTTATGAATGTGGTTAATGTATGATATCGACCACCTAGCAATTTTTTGCAACAGCATTTGTTCTACAATCGCTAAATTACTTCAAATTTAATCCCTTCTGTTCCACCAGGACATCCTAAATGACTTTCAGCAGTGAAATTTCTATTTCAATGTGTTTAATAGTAAAATTTGGCATGAAATATATTCCATATACATGAAATTAAGAGACTCTTGTTTCCGTCTCTGGAAGCAGAATGTGCTGTAAAACCAGAAGTATTTTGACAAATCATTAAAAACTTAGGGACAGCTACTTTCAAGAAAAGAAACCTTTGAATCGCAAAATTTGAGTGTTGTTTCAGTTATGATTCAGTTCTATCGATAAATGTGTGTGTGGGGGGGGGGGGGGGGATTTGTTATCATTTTGAAATTTACAATTTAAAATTTTAATTTGGAATATATTAAATTAACCTTCATTCTTGGAGTATACAATTGTAATGTATTGTCTACATTCTCTGTTTTATCTTATGTTTTGTTACAGTCTTGCCTGGTGTTAGTGTTTAGAAATGAACACTCAGATGAGAGGATAAGGGCTATTATCAGAGAAATACATAATTGTGTAAGTATTACAATCAAAACTTATTTTAAGTGGCAATCTAATCTTTGTCATATGGTCATTTGTATGAAAAAAAATAATTAGAGAAACAGAATGGCAAAAGATTTAAATACGACAGATAAATAATAACAGAGTTATGAATATTTGAATATCAGATCACTAAAACAATGACAGTGAAAATGTTCAACAACAACAAAAACTCATGTTATCATTGCAAGGACATTGAAATATCTCTTTTTGAGAATTGACAAGGAGGATCCAGTATTTCATACAAATATTGACTGCTTATTATTGGGGTCACAGTTAAACTATAGCTCCTCGGTAATCTTGAGACTGCACTCTGCAGGCACAATACAATACAGTCTCAAGATCACCTTGGGCGATAGTTTTAACCGTCCCTCCAAAAGCAGTCAATATTTGTATACTATGTAGATGCGTAACGCTTAGCTAGTGATTAGGCATAGGACCTCTGTTTCATGAAGCTACTTTTGTTTCCCATCCCAACTTGCCATTCATGTATTAAAAAAATTGTCATTGTCTGTCCGTATCCTACAGTTGTGTATGTGAGTAACCCATCATTGATTATCAATTCTCTCCTGTGTTCCCCTTTGTTTGTTGTTGATAGAGCGACTGTGTGTTACTGAAAACAAGACAAACAAAGCTGGATCCGCAAGACGTGACTAGAATGTTTGGTGGAATCCCTGCTCACAAAGAAGCTGCTAAGAAAGGTATAATTGGAATTGATGGATTGAAAGATAGATGGATAGATAGATAGATCGTTGGATAATAGCTAGATGAAAAGATAAAGATAGGTAGATCAATTTCACAGAATGATTAAGAGATACCGTCGTTATAAAGAAGCTGCTCAGAAAGATGTATGAATGGATGGATAGACAGATAGATTGAAAGATAGACAGATAGGTATTAAATGAATAGTAAAATATTTAGATATAATATAGAATGAGAAGAATGTTTGGTTGTAATCCTGCGCATAGAGAAGTGATTAAAAAAGCAGATGCATAGCTAGATAATAGATACACAAATGTATAATAGAGGAAGGTAGATAGATGGATGGATGGATGGATGGATGAATATATTTATATATGTGTCTATAAATGAATGGCCATCTGATGGATGGATGGATAGATAGCTGAATGGATTAATGGATGAAGAGGCCCATGTAGATGGAAGGGTGATTAGATAGATAGATGAATGGATAGATGGATGGATAACAATGAGATTCACCCAGCGTATCACAGAATTAAAAATTCACGATATCTCCTACCCTACATCTTCCTCCTTATCTTTTATTTCAGGCCTTGTTACATCTCTTGAAGTCAATGGCTCAGATACCATAAGCAAATGCAACACTATCGTTCAGCAGGTCGCTATGGACTGTGTGGTGTACATCTCAGAAGATAAAGAAGCAGCATCACGTGATCACGACAACTGGCTCAATTTCTTAGATTCACAGATGACTATGTGAGCAACAACAAACTCATTTATGTTGAATGAGGTCCGCATCATGCATTTCTGTTGATTTAAGTCCCACATGCAGTGGTTTTTGTTGGGTAAGGGCTACCTGGTGTAGTCCGATATGGTGTGGATTATGTTAGTGAGGGCTTGCTTGTGTAGTCCCAGTTGCAGTGTTTTGAGTAAGTAGACCATGCCTGGTGATAATCAGCCTGCAGTGAATATATTTGCATTAGTCCAAATGGTTGTGAAGGCTGCAGGGAAAGTGATCGCGATACTTGATATAATATCACACATTTAGGAGCACTATAAACAAAAGGTACCATATAGCTCTATATACAAGATTACAGAATGTGAATTATATAGAAACATAGAATATGTAAATCGCAATATTTTATGAAGATCTATGTTTTCATTGATCTTTTGAAAGAGGCGACACAGGTTCCTTCTCTGATGGGACTTTGGATATTGTTCCATGTTTTTTGAGGCAGCCGCTAGAAACCATTTTTTCGGATGGTGAGAGTGTGGACTTATGATATACTTACATGGATATGTAGAGAGATAAGACCTTTGTTTAACATAGTTTATACATCATTAGACATTTTTTTTCTTTAAATGTAAAAAAAAAAAATGTGGTGGTGCATAGGAGAATCAAAACAATGTAGAGATTGTTGATTGGGATTTCCTTTGTATTATTTGCAGGGTGTTTTATATTTAAGCGTCTGTGGCATGCAGTTTTAGGAAATGTAAGTGTTTTTGCTTACAGTTTTGGTAAGCATGAATATTCAAGAGAATATATTTGGAACATGTGAATATTCATTGCTTTCGTTCAGGTGATCATGAATATTCAAGAAGTATCTTTGGAACGTGTGAATATTCATTGCCTTATAGTTCAAGTGAGCTGAATATCTATTTCTATTGTGTATTAATACACAATAGTGCAGAATTTGTAATCCTTAAGCTTGCCCCCCCCCCCCCCAAGTAAATAATAGGACATGCCTTTAGAAAGGTGGATCATGTATTGATGGACATACACACTACCCATTCAGGTGCTTTTATTTTTGTGACTTGTTTGATAATTTTGATCGTTTTTGTGTTGAAAGAATTACTGTTTTTTGGTGTGTTTTTAAGCCAAAATGGTGTTAATTATGTGTAAAACAATATGAGTTAAATCTCTTCTGGATCTGAACAGATGATTTGTCATATTGAACTGCTAACAAATGCTATCCTCACTGTATTAAACTTGATACCCCGGCAGTAAAGTTCTGAGTGGCCCAGAACCCTGTTTCATAAAACTTGATATCAATAACAAGTTACAAGCTACTGTTATAAGCTACTGAAATCAAGGCATCTGATTGGCTGAGAGCATATTTGTCATAGAAATTTAGCATTTGTTATCGATAAAAGTTTCATGAAACGGGCTCCAGATCCATGGGATTGAAAAGCTTGCCTGATGAACCTAGGAGGGTTGGCCAGGACACAGACTAGGTGTAAATAATCAAATTTGACTGAACACCAAAATACAACCAACAACATCAACTTTATATATCTAAAAACTATGTAAAGACTTAGTACCACAGCACTAATACCCTGTATCAAGACATGTATATTAAATGTTTGTTACCTAGTAGGAAGAAACTGTTTAAATGCATTAAGAGCCCGCAATAGCAGCTGGTCTATCAAAGCCAGAGTAATATATTCTTTGTTTTGAATGATGTTGGTTTAGAAGCTTTACACACTCACTATGTCATATCTATGGTACTATTATCTTGTTCTCGTGAATTTATGTATTTTATACTGAATGACTTGCGTTCAGAAGTACTGCACATGCATTACCAAATATCTTCTGCTGTTTAGAAATGAAAGGTGAATTTGTTGTACTCTATTTGGCCAGAAAATATGTTTCAACATTGACATGTACATGTATACGTTTACATGTACATGATAAACTTAACCTCGTTTAGATATGATGCATCAAAACCGCAGCGTTAAAATGATGGACCCTTTCTGGGGTATATCTGAACAAGCCTATATCTTTCTTGCATATAGCTACTTGCGCCCTCTATATAGCATACAATGGCTAATCGGTGACCATTGGTCTCCCACGGTCCCCTTTTTCTTATGTTAATTGAGAGCTGATTTGATGAGACCATGCAGGGAGGTCAAATCCCTCCAGGCCAAACTAGTGCAGATGGGCTTTAATACTTTCCACCAAATGGCATTCTGCAGTAATTTAATGTTTGAATGTTAGGTTTCTTGTTTCCTATAACACTATGATCCTTGTACAACACACAAAGAGGTTTTGTATTCTTGTAGTCAAATTTCTACATACCTTTTCTATTTATTTATAGATACTGTTAGTATGTTTGTATTGTACATACAGTGTATTTATAGTTGTTTTCTTACATGTAATGTAAATGTATGCGATGTTGTGTGTTTGTGTTTAAATTGCGAACAATGTATTAGGTAACTGACTTTACAGCTGATGTACATGTTTATTAAAGTAGACATGGTTACATAATGAATTCATGCTGGGGTATAATGCCTAATCCCATGAAAGGCAGTTGGTAATTTTGCTTGTTTTAGATTAGTGATAGCTTCAAATAGACCATTTTCAAAAAGATAAAATGTTTTCCCAGCCAAAAGCTATTACATTCACATATTCTATATTATTGCATCTCAACAAAAATTAATGCAAATCTCATACATTAACTGTTGCTAGGTCGGACAGATATTATAGCCTATCCTACATGAGTGACAACATATAATGTTATGTGGACTCATAATGAGACACTTAACAAAAGTGTAATACTGTATGTATTTGATAACATTACTGAAATGGCATTTTGCTGTTGAGAATACTTTGGATGAAATTTCCAGTCACAATTTGAAATATAATCAGTATTCAGTCTAAATAATGTAGGAATGTGGCTGGATTTAATATTAAACAACAGTCATTTGAGTCACTAAAGAGCTTTGCCATTTTTAAAGTTATCCAAGTGCATGTATTCTACTTGGTCTGTATTTCAAACTTGTGTATGTGTTAAGACTAGATTTTATATAATATTTTGAACGTGTATCTGATTATTTGTCTAGGAAATTATATTAAAATATTTGATTTGTTTTCTCTCTGATTTACTGAGAATACAAAGTTTATTGTTTGTATCATGTTATCATTTTTACATCATCATTACCATCATCAACATTTTCACTTTAACCACCACCATCACCACCTGTCGCCATCATTATTTTCACTATCACCATCATCATCACCTTAATTATTGTCACTTTAATCATCATAGTCATTACCATCTTTACCACCACCATCATCATTTTCACTATCTCCATCATCAACTTAATCATCAACATCAACATCATCATCATCTTTACCTTCATCATCAACATTCAATCAAAAATAAAACCTTGAACTTTTTTCGATTATATGCTGTCTTATATTCTGATTTGTGGTTTTGCCTTTTTTGTTGTTCAAATAATGTCACCTTGCTTGTTTTGATGTAAAACAATATTTTCAAAAAATAATTGTGCAGATCTTTCTTCAATATATGTATATTTAGATCAATGTTGAATAAACCAATTACATTGTGGATACAAATGAAATATTTCTGGTACATGTATTCCTTATTAGCAACAGTGCTTGCCAGCAGTTTTCTTGCAAATAGTTGAGAGAAAACACATACATTTGGAAGAGATAAAGCAATGATACAATTTTTTTTTTTAATCAGTTGAAAATTTAAATATACATTTACAATCAACGTATAGAATAGATCATTAAAGTACATCTGTCAATAATTCATTACTTCCGCATTTCAAGATAACACACACATAATCATTTTCATTAGTTGTTACACACTGGCCAACCTTCCAAAGAAACAGATAATTACAAATTAAGTATAAGAGAAAAGTCAAGTGGAGGTATAGTGGTTCATTCACTAGACTCTCTATCCAAGGGTTAATGGTTCAGATCCTAGCCTAGCACCAACGTCCTTTGGCAAGACATGAATCCAGGTGTACCACTTTCCACACAGGTGTTACATAATGGAGGCCAGGTTTACATTTCAGCAAGAAAATATATATTTTAATTATGTTCTTTTCTTGCATTGTCTAATTGTATTCCCTTATCTTCCTTTTCTCCTCCTCCCTCCTCTTTGTTTATGCTACAATTCTGTTATACATGTATTTTCATAACATTCTCAACAAATTTCTGTTCCTTTGTTTCAAATGGCAAATAAAAAACAGAAGATCTACACGTATTTGTCTTCCATTGTAAGAAATAACGTTTGAAAACTGTAAGCTAGTAGATTGTCATCCATGTGCATTTTTCAAATATAATACATCGCTAAAAAGAATACAATCAAAGAAATGGCACAATCATAAATTTTATGTTTATTTGTCCTCTTCACAGACAAGTCAATTCTTAAATTGAAGTAACAGGCCACTTTGCAGATAATCCGCACAACATCAAGTAATTTTTGATTATCGTATTATAATATGTAAAATGCTTTAATTGTCTTTTTCACCTCTCTGCAGTCGTTGAATTCCAACACGCGCCATTTTAAACAAAAAAATATATTGATTGACTGAAGGATTGCTTTGTGCAACACAATGGTTTTGCAAAATGACCCATCTCCGGCCTTGACTAGCTCCATGATAACCCTTTCAATATCGCTATTGACTAAAATTTTGCAATGGAAAGTGTTCCATAATCTTGGAGCTTAGGTATATCTCTCCGATGATAATATATTATGGCCCTGGTATAAAAATAAAGCTTTAAAATGCATGATTGGCAAAGGACACAGAGTCCTTCCTATTCATCCCAGAGTTCAACGAATACACATTAATGATGATTGTAATATACAGTCATCTTCCCTACAGAATGTAGCAACCTTTAGAAAGGTACATGTTGACGACCTGAACATGAAAGCTTTACGTCACAATACCATCATTGTCATGAGAGCAGATACAACTTCCCCCTCTGACACCCTACCCTCACCCCTATTTGAACACCAAGTATACAACACAATATAAACCCCCTTTAGTTAGAGTTTTTAAAACATTTTAAATTGTCCTGGGCCCTTACCCCATGATAACATTTAGGAGCTGTTCCTGTACAAAATAAAAGCAATATAATTTTTTTAAAGTTTCTGTATTATCAACTTTCTTATAATTTCATACTTTGCAAAGACATAGTACAGTATTCATCACAATTACAAGGCACAATTTCAGTTTTAAATCTCTCAAAAAATGTCTGTACATTTTCACTAGGCATTTTATCTACATAAATCAATTTACAAATTAAACAATTAACCATCATTTTTAAATGTTCCTGTACATCAAACAAGCAAAAACAACAACAAATTACACCTGTTGTAAAATTCTGACTCGCCATTTTTCACATGCAGACTGGATACATCAAATTATATACCAGTAAGCCTTCTATGCCAGGCCTATGAATGTACATGTAGATGTTTTGGTATAAGATTCACATAAAAGTACCTATCATTTTCAGAATGAAATAAAAATATGTAAAATATAAAGATTGTTTCAATGTTAATATAAAATTGAACAAAAGAACTAAAGAAGGTCCAAACTTGACATTGACAAATTCATCTACCCTGTATAATAATTGTCTGTTAACCTACTGGTACAGAAAATGTTTATAGTTACTTTAAAGCAGGGCTTCTCAAAGTGAAGAAAAAAAAGGATATCATTACTACACCCCTTTACGGGTAAAACCGCCATTTTAATTTGCGAGTAAACATTGCGTCACCAGTGTGTATTGTTGGGTCACTGCCTGCACTGCACGCTCACATCATATCGACATATGCTGCCTAAAATAAAAGTTACTAAACATTGGCGCCATTTTCAAATGGGAGTAAATAATTACTCAAAATTTAAAATGGCCCCTATGCGGCGCATGCACACTCTTGTAACCATGGGGGTGTATTCCCAAGTACATGTAGTAGGATGTGGGTTTAGTGAGTGCCCCATTCTATGCGCGCTCATAAGCATGCATTAAGTAGTCTACAGCTCAAGACAATTTTACCTTTCACTGAGTGTTTTTAAACAGCAATATCTCTTTGTAGAAGAAATATTTGAAGCTCATATTTTGACCACACCATAGCAACATGGAGCCCTAGCTCATACATCAAGAGCAAAGCATGTTTGGGTGATTGGTACACTTTAAGAGGTCAAAATAAAGAATACTTTTGACGAAATAACATTACACCAAACACATCATGGATGTACGGTAGTGAGTGGAGGAGCAGTGGTTGAGTGGATAAGTAACTCAAATGTAGACCTACTTGTAAAAGCGCAGGTTCAAATCCCTGCCTTGGCACTCTCCTTTGGCAACACATTCATCTACATCTCCATCCAAATGGGAATAGTTTAGGAAAAAATTCCTTGATTGACATGGCAGCTCAGCTAATGCCGCCGGCAAACGGTACTAATTATAACGCAGCATAGTGGAATAATAGTTATGCTACATAAATGCATCTATTATTAACCATCATCAACTCATCTTAAAAAACATGAAGCATTCAAAGTATCATGTAATCCGCTACATCAATGAAATTGATGATTCCCGAGTACAATTCAAAATCATTTAAAGCAGGTTTCTTTTAGATCTTTGATATATACCACTCTGTTCAACAACATTTCTCTATTGAAGTAACTAAGTGATCATAACATGAATTTAGTCCAAAAAAAAAACTACTAGATTAATATGATGACACGATTTTAGTTCATGCATTTAGTCTTTAAAAAATTACATTAATTTATAATGGATGAATCAAGTCATAATTATCAGCATGATTGGATAAAAAACAAAGTACTCATAATTTAAGTTAATTACTCTTAACTTAAAAAGCCACTGTGGCTCAGTCGCAGAGCAGTGGTCTCGTAGTCGGACAGTCCCAGGTTTGAAAACAAGTCAATGTGCTAGTGCCCTTTGGTAAGGCATTAATCCTCATTACAAAGTCCCACTGATACCCTTTTCACATCTATTTTTCTTAACCCCGGACTATCCTTAACCCCATACTATCCTTAACCCCATACTATTTTTTTTGCTGTTCACATCTATTTTCTTAACCCCGGACTATGTGCTTAGCCGGGGTTAAGAAATTTCACGCGATTCACACTACGTTCGCCTTAGCCCCGGACTATTCGATAGCTCATGAATATTAATGCTTTTGCTACCGCGCATGCGCCTTTCGACTAAATGAAGGGGAAAAACCCGCGCGCTAAATTCAATATAAATATAAATTCAATTCCGATCATTCCGGTGTAAATACAATTAAAATCAGGAGACAATCAATGCAACAATTGAACTATAATCAATATCGGTCAACGAACTCTTTGCTTGTGGTAAAAAGACCAACAATATACAGTACGGTACGTAATAATTTTAGCTCGCTCGTGTTGTGTTATCCAGCCTTGCGCAAAGCGTTTTCCCTTTATTATTTTACCGATACAAATCAATTACCCATTTTTCATCCAATTCACTTGATAAATTTACCTACGTAAATATGACTGATAATGATAAATGCAATAAAAAATTATGAGCTACATGTTCTTTCACTATTTTTTTAAATCAATTTTATAATAAAGATTTTTTCATAATGACCTCTGCCTCGTAAAAGACTAAACGTCAATACAGAGAGCATGCATGCGTAACGTGAACTGCATGCATATAGCGCGCGATAAATGCAAATTCACGACCACACGACCACGCTGTCTGTGATTGGCTGTTGCTTAGCCCCGCTTCTCCTTAGCCCGGTTCGGATTCACACTACGCAGCTTAGCACCACAATTGCCCGGCTAACCCCGCAATTGCCCGGCTAACCCTGCTATTTTGCAGGGCCAGATAGTCCCGTACTATTTGTGGGGTTAGCCCACTTTGGCAAAACGTAATGTGAACAGAAAGCCGGCTAAAATTACCCCGGGTAATTGGTGGGGCTAAGGAAGGAATTGGTGGGGCTAAGAGCCCCCTTAGCCCCACCTATTTCCCGGGGTTAAGCAATATTTGGTAGATGTGAAAAGGGTATGAGAGGACTTTAAGCCATCAGTCCCCTGGTTGCTTGCTTACAATCACACACATGCTTTCTTGGCAGTCAGGTAATACAAACAAACAATTAATTATCATCATGTTTACTAGATACAGGTACCCAAATGATTGCATGCTCTAGAATTAAACTTCATTGGTAAACAGTAATGCAACAGTAACACTATCACATAAAGAATAGCTGTATATGAAAGAGACATGCAATTTTGCACAAATCAACAGGCACCAATTGACAGAAGGATTGCTTTGTGCAACACAATGACTTAGTAAAATGATCATTTTCCAGTCTTGATTAGCTCCATGACAACCCTTTTAACACTGGTACAGATTATTCTTGCACTGGAAACAGTCAAATAATATTGAAGCCTGTGGTATATCTATCCCATGAAAAACACAATATGGCACACACAGATGATTTGTTCAATTGTTAAACATAATTTCTGTTTTATATGGCACTTACAGCTAGACTTTAGGTGACAATGTGACTAGTACATGCACTACACTATCATTCTGCCCTAAAGAAGCGCTACAAATGAATAACTGTAGACTATGATATATATATCTATAAAGCGCTTTGAGAGGGCCTGCGGTCCTGAAAAGCGCTATATTTATTATTTAAAAAACAGAACTTTTATTATTATGAATTTGAGTCTAAATCGATAGTTGTCTTTGGTCTCTGGTTTGGTCCGTCTTCTGATCTCATCATGACATCACTGTTTCAAGGCACTGGGAAGATACTTCTCAACACCGAATGCCTGCAAACAAATAGACAGAAACACAGAGAGATAGATTGATAGACGATAACTGCATACACATGTGCTACAGAGAAATGCGTTTCAGGCTTTATTTCTGTCAGAGATATATACCGGTAGCTAGGTATACAAATGGCTCCAATAGGGAAATGGTGTTCACCTTTAAAAATATTTTTATTCCAAAGTAAAATTTATAATTAAGTAAAATTGTTATGTTTTATGGGCTCACCAGTGTTTTCATGCATTTCAGAACAAGTATTTAGCTGAAAATGTTTGTTTGGTGTAGTAGACCTACTATAGAGTACCGAAGCTGTGACATCATAAAAATCTATTTTTAGATTTTTGATGACCCCACACTTCACCACTCTATAAGCAATACAGTATAGGTTAAGACCCACAGAAGACCACATGGCCCTGACGTTGCTCCAAATGGGCCCAAAGGACCAGCAACTCTAGACATTCAAGAGGACTGTTTTAAACAGTCACTGTAAATCTCTATTTCAGTATCAAAATACAATGATACATTGTGGGTCTGAGCTTTGATGGCCAAACATGTCTCACAGACCCACAATCTGATTTTAAGGGCACAAGTGTAACATAAGTGATTTAAGAGCATCAACCTATAGTTATATGATATATTTTCTTCTACATATATTCATTAAAAATGTGTTATACTAAAGGTACTTGTTAATTCAACCCATATTACATCATATTTGGACGCCTGAGGGGGCCCTGAAGCTATTTGATGGGTTGTATGTCAGGACAGAGGTTAGGGTTAGATTAGATTTAAGTTAGACATTAACTGATTTAGTTGATCTAGGAGCTTGAGTGGGAAGCAATCATCATAAGAATAGATGATGTAAAACCAGAGAGAGAGAGAGGGTAAGGGGGTCATGTACATAGAGGGAAATATACAAATGTACTTGAAAGTCTTGTAAGATTTCTAAAGAATGAGGGAGAAAGAAAGAAGAGAGACAAAAATAAAACAAAAAAAGACAGAAATTGAAAGAGAGAGGGACAACACACGCCAAAAACAAGGATGGCAAAAAAGTAAATGATACATGTACATGATACAGGAGAAACATGTACATGTACTTCATATATCTTGAAGACTTCAGCCAATAAGATACCAAGAGTAAATTTGAAGAAGGTATTAAAGGGATTGAGTATCTTTGCCTCAGATTCTACGCAATATCCTGGCTTTAGGTCATGCATTATCAAGATATTTATGATAGGAATTTGAAATTTCAAAAACCTATTTCCCAACGTGTTTATAACACTACAGTCAGGTAGGGAAAATAAGTATGGTAAAACCGGTCACTCAAAGATTTTTACTTTTTTAAGGCACTTCATGATCATTTAGAAGTGATTTTTTTTTTTTTTTTTTTTTAGGGGGGGGGGGGGGGGGGGGGGGGCTTCAATATTACACCATATCACAGACACCGATAACACGTAGGGCCAGAGAGAGAGGGAGGGAGAGGGGGAGAGAGGGAGAGAGAGACAGATAGATAGTAGGGGAAATAGATGGGGAAAGAAAGAGAGAGATAGAGAGAGAGAGATAGGGAGAGAAAATGAAGGGAGGAGATGAAGAGAATAGAAGAAAGGGTCAAAGAACATACAGACTGGAAGAAAGGGCCAGGGATGATTACACCTACCCTGAAGACCACTGCCAATCTTCTTCTTTCCTATGATGTAGTAGAATAGGAAAAAAAGGAACTACCGGGTATTACAAACATTAAGCAAAGTCAACCTCGCGCAAGCAACCTCGCATGTGTTGAATAGTCGCATGACTGTACCCTTTGGGAGAATTTTCAGTCCAAATATGAATTTTCATTTCAACAAATCCTAGGATCTCCAAGGTCGTGTTCAAGGTCATATCAGTTAAAACAATAGAATACATGAGATATTTGTAAATTCCTTTCCCCCTCAGCCTAATGACCTTTTTTTCTTAGAACAGCTTGTTTATGAGTTTCATAATAACGCAAGAGAGGAGGGAGAGAGAGAGAGAAGGTGGGAGGGAGGGAGGGAGAAGGAGGGAGGGAGGAACGGAGAGAGAAGGAGGGAGGGAGAGGGAGAGAGGAGGGAGGGAGAGAGAGAGAAGGAGGGAAAGAGAGAGAAAAAAAAGGGGTGGACGTCGAAGAAAAGAGAAGAGAAAAGAGTGCGCACACACACCCTGTAATACAGGACATACAGAGGCTGAATGATAGAGAGAGAGAGAGAGAAAGCAGAATTTTTTTTTACCTACCTTGAATACTAAATCCAATAGTAAACCAATGCAAGAGAGTTTGAGGACAGTAATTAGAAGACATATAAAATGGGAGAGAGAGAGAGAGAGAGAGAGAGCAAGAGAGAGAGAGAGAGAGAGAGAGAGAGAGAGAGAGAGACAACATACATTGGCCAAGAGAGGAAATGAAGGAGAGGATAAAAGAGTCTTACATACCTTGCAGACAACAGCAAGAAGAAATCCGATGAGAGTAAGCTTGAGGAAGGTATAAAAGAATCCTTTTCTCTTTGGACTCTTCTTCAAGAAGAACTGGGTTATCTGGGTCTTGCGAGGAGTGTAGGGAGGGTACCGCATGCTGTCATGGAGACCGGAGACAAGGCGGAGAGAGAGGAAAGAGGATGAAACAACTCGTTATCAAATTACACCTTGAAAGGAATTGGGTAGCTTAGCTAACATGTGATGTAACAAAAAGACGCATCTAGGGAGATCTTTCTGATGATATAACTCTATTATTCATGGCATAAAGGCATCTTGGTGAGGCTTTATGTTAGCTAAACAGCAAAGCTTTTTCTATAAGCCAGACATAGCCTTTTTAGAGCAATGAGCCTTGAGGGCTTTAACTCTGTGTTATAGTGTACATTATGAAATATGAAGCCCTGTGGCTTCACATATACATTTCAAGTGTGGTCATCAATACTGTTTGATTTTTCAGGTGTGTTAATGAACACTGTTTGATTTTCACAGTGTGAAGTAATCACTGAATGAACATAGCAGTCTGTTCACATTTAATACTTACCCTTGTGCCTTTTCGGTGAGCCACATGTGTTTGTCAATGAGCACAGGTTTCTTGTGAGAGAAGACTTCGAATGAGAACTTGCCGTGGTATGACCCTTGACCTGATCCGCCTACTCCACCAAACGGCATTGAGTCAACTGAGACAAAGACAAAGAAGCACAGATGTTGTTGTAAATTCTATAGTGCATATATTTGTTTGTTTCTTATTGTTCGTTTGTTTATTTTACCAGACTACAAAGAAGTATGTGTATGATTGTAAGTACCAACGGATTCAAGTCATATTTGAGGGACTTGGTAATGAGGATTAATGCCTCATCAAAGGGCATATCCTCCTGGATACGAGACCAATGCTCTTCCACGCCTTGTTGATAAATCATATTTTCATTCCATTGCAGTATTACCATGTCATTAGGCACCAGACCTAGTTATAATCTCTATTTCCTTGAGTAGACTAAAAGGTATTACAAATTTTTGGTAAGGGGTCATGAATTTGGTTCAAATGAACATATTAGAAAGCTATCTGATTTTAAAATATTCAATGATCGTTGTCGTGGTTGAAATTGAGTCTAAGGTAATGAAATTGTAAATAATTTATGTTGATACTATAAAATGTTTAATTTGAAATGAAAAGGATCAATAAAAGAGAGAAAATAATTAATTCTATACATGACTCACTTGCAGCATGTATAATGACATCATTTCCAAGGAAAGCTCCACTTGATGTCTCATCAGCAAACCTTTGTACGGTCTTCAGGTTGTTAGAGAAGGCATACAAGGCCAATGGTTTATCCCTGTCAACATAAACAATAAAGATTCTTACTGTCAACCCATACACTATTACATTAGCAAACCTTTGTACAGTCTTAAGATTGTTAGAGAACGGATACAAGGCCAATGGTTTATCCCTGTCAAGATAAACAATAAAGATTCTTACTATCAACCAATACACTATTACATTAGCAAACCTTTGTACAGTCTTATGATTGTTAGAGAACGGATACAAGGCCAATGGTTTATCCCTGTCAAGATAAACAATAAAGATTCTTACTATCAACCAATACACTATTACATTAGCAAACCTTTGTACAGTCTTATGATTGTTAGAGAACGGATACAAGGCCAATGGTTTATCCCTGTCAAGATAAACAATAAAGATTCTTACTGTCAACCTATACACTTTTGAATTCTCTCAAACTATATGTTTTAATACACCGATTTACTAACATATTCAAATTTGTGGATGTTTCTTTCGTTGGGAACTCGTGCTGAGTTATTCCATAAACCTGTTATAAATGAATGAACTACAATACTTGTAATCCAGTCTAAACACATTCCTTGTTGCTATGTCTGACAAACCTTGGGCAAGCTATCAGGTTGTTAAGAACAACCTTTGTTTAAATAGTATGTATACAATTTGAATACGTTAGTACCGTATTCGCCGGCGTAAAGGAACCTGCCCCAGAACTTGCTAACCGTTGCCAATTTGGCACTACATTATTTGCACATGAAATTAGGAGCGTCTAGTTAAGTTTATTCCTGGATATTCTTTATTCAGAATGTTACAAAGAGTAAAAAAATATAAAAAATCGCAAGTCAAAACCATGAAAAAAATTTGTACATATGGGACAACAATGAAAGGCGATGGAAATTTCTAGAATAACTGTCCAGAATAACACATGTCTTACAGACAATTATGTGTTATATTTTTAAATGAAGGGCAAAGTTTTGTCAATCTCATAAATTAAATTCATAACTTACCAACCAAACTCTACTGGTAGATCTAGATTTAAGTTTTTGCCATAGCTAAAGCAACCTCAATCCTCTCAGCTCGCGCGAGCCAAGCTATAGCGCAATACACAAGAGAAAGCTGCAAGAGAAGTTGGGATGGCCGAGCGGTCTAAGGCAGTGGTTCGGGTCGCAATCTACATTTGTACGCGTGGGTTCATATCCCGCCTCCAAAAGTTTTTTTTTTTTTTTTTTTTTTTTAAATGTAAAAATCGGAGGTGCGGCCTTACAGTATCGCCGGCAAATACGGTAAACCAGTTACACCCTTATTGAGGACTGTGTATCAAAGTAGCAAATAATTATAAATCACAAACCTGGCCAATAATGTATAACTAGAAACCAGAAAGCTTAATACAGATGACATCAGACAACTGTATGTAATAGGTGAATTGCGTAACAGACAACAACAAATTAACACAAATAAAAGCACCTCTCAGGACCCGGGATATACGAATGCTCGCCACGAAATTTAGCGATGTCTTGGTTAGGTCACTTCAGGGACCAATCCTGCGTAATTAAAATAATTTCCGTGCAGTTACACAGTGGTTAGGTTTGACCTGTGACTGTGCTACCCTTTCACAGCAACAAATTAGGAATCTATCACAGAAAAATTAGGAATACAGTCTTTTTTTTATACTTTTCCAGAGCATACTTCAGAAAAAGAGAGGAATCTAGGGTTCAAAACAATAGCTTGAGCACCAAAATAGGAATCATTCCTACGAAATAGGAATGGTTGGCGGCTATGGTGTATGTGTGTCACAACTATCCCTCTCAATGGACTATGGGTGTGCAATTCTTGCCTACATTGTACCTGTCATTTATGAAGTCAATGGCTTGGTCAACTGTGTCTAAATTGAAGATAGGTAGGATTGGACCGAAGATCTGAAAGAAAAAAGAAATGTGCATTACAATTTTTTGCAAATACAAAGGGAATGTACTATGAGAATGAAAAACACACATCTTCAAAAGTAAAAGCTTGCAAATAAAGAAGCTAATTACTTTTAAAATTCCTTCTCCTCCTTCTCTTCCTCTCTCCCCCTTTCTATCTCCCTTTCTTCTCCCCCACCCCTCCTCTCTCTCTCTCCCCCCTCTCTCTAGCTTACTTCCTCTGTCCTGCACTGGGCAGTTTCGCCAGGATTCAAGATGACAGCAGGAGTACAAAATAAATCACTCATCTATCTTTCTCTTTGCCTTCCCATTCCACCCCTAGCCCCCTCCTCATCTCTCTCTCTCTCTCTCTCTCTCTCTCTCTCTCCCTCCCTTTCCAGGGCTTACCTCTTCCCATTCCACCCTAACCCCCTCCCCATCTCTCTCTCCCTCTCTCTCCCCTCCCTCTCCAACGCTTACCTCTTCCCATTCCACCCCTAGCCCCCTCCCCATCTCTCTCTCTCCCCTCTCACTCTCCAGTGATTACCTCTTCCCATTCCACCCCTACCCCCTCCCCATCTCTCTCTCTCCCCCTCCCTCTCCAATGCTTACCTCTTCCCATTCCACCCCTAGCCCCCTCCCCATCTCTCTCTCTCTCCCTCCCTCTCCAATGCTTACCTCTTCCCATTCCACCCCTAGCCCCCTCCCCATCTCTCTCTCTCCCCCTCCCTCTCCAATGCTTACCTCTTCCCATTCCACCCCTAGCCCCCTCCCCATCTCTCTCTCTTCCCCTCCCTCTCCAATGCTTACCTCTTCCCATTCCACCCCTAGCCCCCTCCCCATCTCTCTCTCTCCCCCTCCCTCTCCAATGCTTACCTCTTCCCATTCCACCCCTAGCCCCCTCCCCATCTCTCTCTCTCTTCCCCCTCCCTCTCCAATGCTTACCTCTTCCCATTCCACCCCTAGCCCCCTCCCCATCTCTCTCTCTCTCCCCCTCCCTCTCCAATGCTTACCTCTTCCCATTCCACCCCTAGCCCCCTCCCCATCTCTCTCTCTTCCCCCTCCCTCTCCAATGCTTACCTCTTCCCATTCCACCCCTAGCCCCCTCCCCATCTCTCTCTCTTCCCCCTACCTCTCCAATGCTTACCTCTTCCCATTCCACCCCTAGCCCCCTCCCCATCTCTCTCTCTTCCCCCTCCCTCTCCAATGCTTACCTCTTCCCATTCCACCCCTAGCCCCCTCCCCATCTCTCTCTCTTCCCCCTCCCTCTCCAATGCTTACCTCTTCCCATTCCACCCCTAGCCCCCTCCCCATCTCTCTCTCTTCCCCCTCCCTCTCCAATGCTTACCTCTTCCGTCATGCACTTGGCAGTTTCGCTAGCATTCAAGATGACAGTAGGAGCAATGTAGAGATCAGATTCATCAGTCTGACCCCCAATCACTACATTCTGACCGTCCATTAGGGCAGCTATCCTCCTAATTGGGTGAAAGAGAGAGAAAGAGATATATATAGAGAGAGAGAGTATGAGATCAATACAGAGATAGTCAAAGTATCACATCGGCATGACCATCACTAACCTTCTGTCACCAGCAGCACCATCATGATGACCAATGCCACCACAACCACCACCAGCATCGCCATCACGACCAACATTGCCAATTTGCCACCATCACCAAAATCTCATAATCATCACCGCTATCACGATCACTTACATGTACATGTACCACCACCATCACAATAATCCACTACAATTACCACCACTACCACCATCACCACCACCACCATCACCACCAACATCTCCACCAGCATCACCACACCATAATCACAACCTTCATTACCACTTCAATAATAAACATCATCACCAACATCACAAACCATCTTCACCAATGACACTACCACCACCGCCTGCATCCCCACCATCACCATCACAAACCATCTTCACCAATGACACTACCACCACCGTCTGCATCCCCACCATCACCATTACCAACCATCTTCACCAAAGACACTACCACCACCGTCTGCATCCCCACCATCACCATCACAAACCATCTTCACCAATGACACTACCACCACCGTCTGCATCCCCACCATCACCATTACCAACCATCTTCACCAAAGACACTACCACCACCGTCTGCATCCCCACCATCACCATTACCAACCATCTTCACCAAAGACACTACCACCACCGTCTGCATCCCCACCATCACCAACCATCTTCACCAAAGACACTACCACCACCGCCTGCATCCCCACCATCACCATCACCAACCATCTTCACCAAAGACACTACCATCACCGCCTGCATCCCCACCATCACCATCACAAACCATCTTCACCAATGACACTACCACCACCGTCTGCATCCCCACCATCACCATTACCAACCATCTTCACCAAAGACACTACCACCACCGTCTGCATCCCCACCATCACCATTACCAACCATCTTCACCAAAGACACTACCACCACCGTCTGCATCCCCACCATCACCAACCATCTTCACCAAAGACACTACCACCACCGCCTGCATCCCCACCATCACCATCACCAACCATCTTCACCAAAGACACTACCATCACCGCCTGCATCCCCACCATCACCATCACAAACCATCTTCACCAATGACACTACCACCACCGTCTGCATCCCCACCATCACCATTACCAACCATCTTCACCAAAGACACTACCACCACCGTCTGCATCCCCACCATCACCATCACAAACCATCTTCACCAATGACACTACCACCACCGTCTGCATCCCCACCATCACCATTACCAACCATCTTCACCAAAGACACTACCACCACCGTCTGCATCCCCACCATCACCAACCATCTTCACCAAAGACACTACCACCACCGCCTGCATCCCCACCATCACCATCACCAACCATCTTCACCAAAGACACTACCATCACCGCCTGCATCCCCACCATCACCATCACCAACCATCTTCACCAAAGACACTACCACCACCGCCTGCATCCCCACCATCACCATCACCAACCATCTTCACCAAAGACACTACCACCACCGCCTGCATCCCCACCATTATCACCATCACCATCCTCTTGACAATCACTTACTTGAAATGCCTCTGGTTGACTATCCTAGCATAGGCAGGGTTCTGCTGGGGATCCTCTCCGTACAGCTCCTTGACCGCTGACCGGAAGGCCTTCACTATCCTCTCATTGTCCCGGGAGTGGCAGATCACATAGTCTGGAGCAACACAGGTCTGACCGCAGTTCATGAAGCGCCCCCATGTGACCCGTCGTACTGATGTAACGATGTCACAGTCTGAATCTATGTAACAAGGACTGAGGAATATAACAACATTATAATGGTAGTCTGCACTAACTGACAAATTGATTACTTCCTCATTCACTTCTTCAAAGGAGCAATACACAGAAATATGAACCACATGTGTCACTAGTCATAATTTATGATACGGTACATTTGTCCTATAAACAATTGAAAATGTCATCTTATTTATCTTTACTACTACTACTAATTATCTGGATTTATGCAGCGGTTAATATTGAATACCATCTCTAACACAGATATTATTACCCCGGTCGTCAGGTCACAAATCACAATGTGCATTATCTCCACTCCCTGGCATTCTTACGGTCACGTGAGGGTATATGGCTATTTCTAACATAATTTTGGGGGGTCATCCTACCAGGTCCCCATTTTTTCTCCTGGGTGTGGAGTGGCAAATGTAGATTAATGCCTTACCAAAGGACATCATCAACACAATCATCAGAAACACAATCATTTTTATCATCACAATCAGTATCATCATCACAATCATCATAAACACAATCATTTTTATCATCACAATCATTATCATCAACACAATCATCATAAACACAATCATTTTTATCATCACAATCATTATCATCATCACAATCATTATCATCACAATCAAAATGACAAACATCAACATTATCAAGTCTACAAACATCATCAGCACCATCATCCAAATTATCATCAGTCCTTATCAACAGCATCATGAGAATCACAAACACCATCACCACTACTACCATCCCCATCCTACCAGCCCTCATCCTTGAGAACACTGACCTCTTTCCTCCAAGCTCCAGGGTGACTGGGGTAAGATGCTTAGCTGCTGCTCCCATGACGATCCTCCCGACCACCCCACTCCCGGTGTAGAGAATGTGATCAAACTTCTGTTCTAACAGTTGAGTTGTCACCTTAACTTCACCATTCACAACCTGGTAACAGTCCTGTAAAGAAAGGTACCATTCACAAATAGTCTAGAATATGCTTAAGATATGAGCTTCAAATAATACTTCACCATAAATTTAAATAATAATACTAACAATAATAACAAGAGAAATAAAACAATAATTTCATAGTGCATTATCCATAAACATGTTCAATGCACTTTACAATTAAGTTATTAATAGAAGAGGTGAGTTTTGAGATATTTGTTGAAGGTATTGATACATTGGTGGTTGCAAAGAAATCTGGGTAGGTTCTTCCATGGTTTGGTAGCAGCAGTTGTGAATGCTCTGTCACCAAGTATGGGTAGCATCTTGGGAGACGGATGGTTCAGCGTGATGCCTTGAGAGGAGTGAAAGGGTATAGCCGGATGGTTGCCTGATAGTTACTGTAGGGAGGAGCCAGACCATGGATGCATTTGAAGGTTTATTGAGAGAAAAGACAATAAAAGGTGCAGTTGGCCAATAAAAAGTTGCCCTTTCCCTCTAATGCTGAGCATGTAATAAATACTAGTGCAGTGAAGGATCCAGGCAACTCTGACAATGATAAACGTAAGCACCATCTCTTGCTGCCTGGGTAATTAGGAAATTGCTGCAATTAATTGGTTTAAGTTTACTGGTATTCTTCAAGTTAATACATTCTCTATGAGTGGTCCTAAGCTTTTACAAATAACTTCAGATATGAACATCAACTATTAAAGAGAAGTACATCAAACAAAATCAAAAACAACATTTAATGAACAAATGCTGATAACACAAAAAGTGTCCTAAATATATTTGCAAGATAAAGAGGGAGGGGGAAAAGTAAATATAGTATACATGTACATGTATATATGCATCCTGCACACATCATTTCTTGTAAACTAATTCTTTCAGCCTGTACTGCGTATTATCCCTTAAAGACCGTCAATAGTACTGGGCCAGAAGGGATTATACCCCACAGCGAGGTCACTGACAGGTGGCTATCTCATTAACTCAGCTCTCAACTAACAAAAGAAAAGAGGATCATGGGGGATCAACAGGCACCGATTGGGGAAGTTTTCTATATAGAGGGAGCAAGTAGCTACAAATAGGACAGTGGGACTTTAAAGCAAATCAAATACAGGTAAATGAATAAACTGAATTGTATTGTATTAGTAGCATTCTATTTTATTGCTTAAGCTATTGAACATGTTGAATAATTATACCGAGTTAGACAATACCACCTGTGTGCTTAGAAACGCCTGTATAAAGCGCCATGTAAGTGAAATTATTATTATTATCATTATATGAATTTTGAAATGGCAACTGCATGGAAAAATGCTGACAGAGGGAGCTGCGTGATCGGAGAGATAGAGAGAGGAACACACAAAAGAACCAGCCACCCACATTGTCGAGATACTGAGGAAAAAGCTTTTCATACAGTAACGCTGTCTCCATGGCTAGTTCGGATGGTTTGATGATGGCGGTGTTACCAGCGACCATGGCAGCTACCAGGGGCTCAATGACCAGCTGGAAGGGGTAGTTCCATGCCCCTATGATGAGGGACAGTCCCAGAGGCTCCCACACGTTGTAGGCTACCTTGCCCACGGTCATGATGTCAGTAGGCACCTAGGAACAAAACAAGCACAGAGGGATGATTGGAGGTGAAAATTGGTTCTTCCTTTTATTAAAGACACATAGGCCCCGAAATCACAAGGGAGGTGTGTTGACAAACCTTGGTGTTTGTGCGTCATATGACGCATTTTGACGCGTTTTTACAAACCAGGTTTGTAAAAAAATGCGTAAAAACACGTCATATGACGTACATAACCCTCGGTTTGTCGACAAACCTCCTTTGTGAATTTGGGCCATAGAGGTTGGCTCTCACGGGAATTTGACATCGTTCGGGTGGTATAACAGGTGTTGTCAGTCAACATGACTAGCCTTCAGTTTTATATCCAACAAATTTTATATAATGCCCTGTCTTTTCCCCATATGATGAAGTCCTTATCTCACATTTGGATCACCCCAAGACTCTCCGAGAGACGAAGGGGTATTTCTTAGGTTTGCTGTGTGCAGACTTGTTGCAGACCCATTAATTGTATTTCCACAAAGTCTGGTGACAGTAAATTATCATGAACACCTACACATGGAAACTGACAACCCACTCCTTTAGAGATCAAGGTCGATCAAAAATGCAGTATTGGTATAATATATACTATGAAGTTAGGGTATCATCACAATGATAGGAAAATGGCTCGGTCTTGCTAACATTCACATGCACAGTACATAGAAATCTTCACATGGGACAACACAAAGTTGTGGCATTTAAAAGCGAGGTCCACAACCATTAGCTAATACTTGTCCAATCATGACTTGTCCTAACGACACGTACATGTATGCCATTGGCATTCTGACTATTGAAATACAAATATTTGTAACAGGCGAATAAAACAATTTGTAACGAGGCACTTAAAAAAAAGACTTGTGCATTAAATTTGATTATATTTAAATTGGACTATTCCTTCTCATTTTAATACACAAAGATTGGTGAATCCATTAGATAATTATAGGGTGTTATACTTACGTTCATGGGTTTTATCCAGTCTTCTAATTCATTCATAAATTGAACAATGTCCTTCTCTGCCATCATAATCTCATATGCATTCGATTCAAACGCAGGCTGTAAGAGATATAATAAGAGATAGGATGAAAGGGGGAAGAAGATGAGGATGAAAGGGGGGAAAAGAACAATAGTGTAATGAATACATGCAAGTATACAACTACATGTACATGTAGGTCTGGTACAAAAACAATTCACACGTTTATATAATAATAATAATAATAATAATACTCAATGTTTATATACATGTAGCGCTTATTAGAATCACTAAGCGCTTCCAAACTTAGAGATTATTACCCTGGCTTTAGCTGTGCTGCCATTACAGCGCTCTAGCATTTCAAGGAATTAATTCCTGTCAGGTACCCATTTACATGTACATATCACATGGGTTGAGTGTGGCAAATGTAGATCAATGTCTAGCCAAAGGACATTAGTGCTGTGGCGGGTCTCGAACCGCGGACCTTGTGATCGACAGTCCGGCGACTTAACCACGTTGCATACTTGTCAAGGTTGAAAGTAGTGATATCTTATCATTTGGTACGAAATGTATCATTTACTATGTAACCAAAGAGGGACAGAAAATTATCTAGTACATGTACAACAAGTCCCGAAAATAAGAATAATTTACAAATGGTCTTACATGTACATTAAACATGTACATGACTATTCACTTCTTAGTTAATGTACATGTACATGTAATGTAATTTCTCAGAATGTCTTCTACGGATATTAGATATTTGCTGGTCAAAAATAACCCATTTAAAATAGAATAGGTTTAAACTAATATGCTAGTATCACTCATAATCAAATTCTGTCACAGTATAGTACCAGATTTGAAAATGAGAGCCACTTATCCTCTCCAAGTGCTATACACTGTAGTTCTCTTTAGAACTATAAGCTAAGAAAGATAACAAAAAGTCCTTTACACACCCCAAGAAAGATTACCGAGTCAGAATCCTATTCAGGACTCCTCAATCCTCTCTCTACCTCTCACATGGTGCACCCGCAAGCCTACTGTAGATATATATCTTGTACAGTACATTCCATTCATGTCTGAAGTGCATATATTCACACAGGACTCTGCATGGTCTGAGATACATGTATCATATGGAGATGCCTTCATTATTTATGATACATGTAAGAACCCAAGCATGCTTTTAGCTACATGTACATTATGTGCAGTTGTGCAGAATAAGAGAAGCTACATGTACATGTATATGCCAATTGTAATTCACAACTAGACCATTATTCAATCAACATTCCATTCACCTTTCCGTCTCTGTCTCCCTCTGTAGCTGTCTGCCTACATGTATGAATTCAAGCATATTTCAGCTATGTGCAGTTGTGCAGAATGAATGCCAAATATAATTCATAAATGTACCATTATTCATTCTGCATTGCATTCCCCCATGCTGTCCCTGGCTGCGCACATCTCTCTCTCTCTCTCTCTCTCTCTCTCTCTTGATATCCCATCTTACCTTCTCCTTCCCACCTCTCAAAATGTCTGTTTGTCCCCTCTCTCATTCCCACATAGCTTCATCTCTGTCTTTCGGTATTTCTTTCCTTTTCTCTCTCCTCCTTTCTTTGCCATATCCCTCCCTCCTCCCTCCCTCCCTCCTCCCTCCCTCCCTCCCTCCCTCCCCCCTCCCTCCCTCCCTCCCTCCCTCCTCCCTCCCTCCCTCCCTCCCTCCCCCTCCCCCTCCCTCCTCCCTCCTCCCTCCCTCCCTCCCTCCCTCCCTCCCTCCTCCCTCCCTCCCTCCCTCCCTCCTCCCTCCCTCCCTCCCTCCTCCCTCCCTCCCTCCCTCCCTCCTCCCTCCTCCCTCCCTCCCTCCTCCCTCCCTCCCTCATTTAACCTAGATAGATGATGAATGAAATGTGTGTTTTCTTTGTGTAAATTCATAACCAACCCCTATACATATGTACAAACAGAACTAGTTTCTACCACCAGACATAGCAAAATACAGTGCTTAGATCTGACACCTCCCCCTCCCTCCCTCTCCCCTCCTCCCTTTCTCTCCCTCCCTCCATCTCTCTTCCTCTCTCTCCCTCTCTCTCTCACCCTTACTCTCTCTCTTTCACCCTTACTCCCTTTCTACATTTCCCTGATACATGCAGTATATTTAAGATCTCACTTCTGAAAATCAATATCAAGATACTATACACTGATTAGCTTCCTACCTTTTTCAGATCTTTGTGAATGGCATCAATAAAGTCTTGTCGATGCTCTTGTATCATGCGATAGCAGTCTTTAAGATGTTTCATCCTCGCCTCATAAGATCTGGTCTTCCCAGCTCTGAACGCAGCCCGCCCTCGCTCCACCACCTGGCAGTGAGCGAGTGCATCACAGTGATAAATATACATGTACCATATTTATTCAAGGCATTCCATGTACCTCATTTACCTATTTTGTATAGCATGAGTTATAATTTATTTAGAAAATTGTTATATTAGGTTCTATTACAAAGAACAATAACTTTGATTTATACTGGTCCGGTGTACTGGAATTCTTTGGAAATGTCGCTTAAACAGTTGCCCATAAACTTCTACTTCAGTATTAAAATGGTTAAGGTCATCATGATGGAAACCATCGGTATTATCAACACTTGTTGGCTGGCTGCACCACGCACCACATTGCATCCTAAATTGATTTATATGTTTATAAACAGAATATTGATGTACATCTGGTTTATACTGTAATAACTCAGTGACCTATATGTATGGTATGTCTGTCTCATAGGCCTGATCTAAGACCAAAAAAATGTAAAGGTTCACCAGAATTACATTGTCAGGTCTTCTGGGATCCAACAGGGTTACAATTGTTATTCTAATATTATAAACTACAAAGAACACTACAACGTCCACACAATTGGTCCATCAGATGAATTATCTTTTTTAATTTGAACCTGATGTAACTTACCGCCTTTGCATCAAATGTTGCCATAGTAACAGGTCGGGTTAGTCTTCGAATGATGGGAGAATCTGGTAAAAGATGGATAGGCCTAGAGAGTGAATTGATAAATCTTAATTATATTACTACCTGTAAATCTACACATGGGAGACAAAGAAAGCAGTCTTAATGCAGCTAGATAAAAATCTTACAATGAAAGCTCAAGTCAATAATGTATGTAAAACCAGTTCATTTGCTCTGCACAAAATTGGAAAAATCCGCCAATTCCTAACCAAAGAAGCTAAAGCAGCTGGTTCATGCCCTGGTTATATCTCGCATAGATTTTTGCAATAGTTTACTATATTCCCTTCCCGATGTTCACACCAATAAATTACAAAGAATCCAAAACTCAGCAGCCAGACTAAACACTAGAACTAAACGCAGAGAGCATATAACACCCATACTTAAACAATTGCACTGGCTGCCAGTTAAGTCCCGTATTAATCATAAGATCCTTTTACTGACATATCAATGCCTAAACGGTACAGCCCCGTCTTACCTCCAAGATCTCATTCTACAATATACCCCTACCAGAAACTTAAGATCAAATAGTAAATCCCTCCTAGTAGCTCAAAGCACTCAAACAAAATATTATGGCACTCGCTCTTTCAGAAATTCTTCGGCCGAATTGTGGAACAGCTTGCCTGATACTGTCAAACAGGCAAGCACAACAGAATCACTTAAAACTCTGTTGAAGACCTATCTTTTTGTAAATTGTTAATTTTGTTCCAGCTGTTTAGTGACTTCTTTGGTTATAGTATCATGTACATATTTAATATTTAATTTATTTTTCATTTAATTGTCATGTTTTTTCATGTTTAAATTTGTATTACCTGAATTTACAATGTATTACATGGAAGCTATGTAGGAATTGTGTATCATTATTGTTGTTTGTAATTAATTATTTTCATGTATTAGGCATAAATGTTCATTTTTATTCCGCCCTTTTCCTTCTTTTCTAAGCGCATAGGGACTTTCTTTATGTGAGTGATATGCGCTATACAAATAACGTTCATTATTATTATTATTATTATTATTAATAGACAGGTCGTTTTAAAGATCCTATCTGATGAATAAACAACTTTATATAAGTGGAAAACTGAATGAACGTAGAATGCAAATATAAAGGAATAAAAAGTATTTTCCCTCTCAGTATTGCGCAATTAAAAAAAATCAAAACCTCATTTTCTGCTGCAGTTACAGTGACAAGATAGCATGTGCACCCGATCAGCTCGCCTATATAGCCGAGGCGATGAGCCGTGCTTAATTAATGCAAATTCATTGTGAAATTGCGTACTCCACATACAGTGATGTCATTAATTTGATAGTTTGTTTTTAAGTCATTCTTCAATGTAACTCTTAGACAAAGAGGGAAAAAAATTGCCTAGGGATCGTCCCAAAGTCAATAGAAAATGCAATCAAAGTTTTCTATACTATTAAACAGATTTGTTAAACTTACTTTTCTGTGGAAAACTGTTACTGATCCAGGAGAGATGCTTGAGTGGTTGTGGTATTATCCTGATGAATGTATTCAACATGGGGCTTCCTTCAGCTATGCTTCACTCTGGTAAATGTAAAGGCAAAGAAGGAAATAATTATTACTTCATTACAGACTCACTGTACTGTACATGCATTGGAAGAATATGAAGCCAAATGCTATAGAACTCAACCCTGTTAAACTCTGCATATATACCAGCATGTGATGTAACCATACTCACGTGATGACATTTCATATTTTGTAATTCTTCTTCACACGGTTTTGTTTGAGCTTTATGTTTGTTTTTGTTATTTGCTGTTTTGCTTGGGTACACCTTCCACTCCCCACCTTCCCTCCGCCACCCCCCCCCCCCCCTTTCTCTTTCTCTCTTGCCTTCAATCCCTTGCTTTTTCTATATATCTTGCTACCCTCTTTATACTGTATAGTCTGTTTTTCTCAATTAATTATGTTATAACCCCTCTCATGTTCTTATTCTCTCTCTCTCTCTCCCTCTCTCTCTTTCTCTCTATGCCTCTCACATAATTCATACCCCTTATTCTCTCTCTCTCTTTTCTTCATTTGAACTGCCCCAATAGAGATCACAGCATGTTCAATTTCTGTGTGTTCCCATATAACAACAGTAGCCTAGAGGCTATACAGTGTACATGTACAATGTACACACAGATCGTAAATCAGTCATTGTCACATGATCAATCCAGGGTCGTCAATGACAAAGTCAACAATTCCGCTGGACTGATCTATAGAACCACAATCTTTGAGTACAATGAACTTCTATACATGTACATGTGTATACTGTACATGTACATAATTATATCTCAAGATCACTTTGCTTCAATTCATAGGTATGGGTACGGTACACCTTTATAAATGTGAGAAGGGTTTGGGTGCAAAAAATAGATAACAAACAGGACAAACGATGCATTTCCAGTAAGTCCAATTCCCAATTTGTCTACCATCATGGTTTAAATGCAATAAATTGTCCCTTAATTTAGATAAAACATGTTTTATAAATTTTTGTGCTTCCCAAACACACTTTGATCAGGTTATAAACATTGTTATTGATGATATTTCTATAGTTGAAAGGAAATCGACAAAATTTTTAGGTATAACTTTGGATTCAAAGCTTACTTGGAATAATCATGCAAATAATATTACAACATCAATTTCAAGGGCAGTTGGGGTAATTGGTAAAATGAGGGATCTTGTACCCGAGAAAATACTTTATACATTATATAATGCATACATGTAAGTGTTACCTCATTGTACATACTGTAATGTAGTTTAGGGGAACTGTAGTATAACTAAGATTAATATAATTTTTCTCTTGCAAAAAAGAGCACTTAGGATTTGTACTCATTCTAATTACTTAGCTCATACAAATCCGTTATTTTATAGATAAAACATTTTAAAAGTGAGTGATTTGCACTTATATCAAACAGCAATCTGTATGTTTAAATACACACAAAATTCACTTCCTCTTTTTCATGACGTATTTATTCCTAATTCCCATGTTCACTCATATCCAACGCGTAATTGTACTGATTTTCATTTACACAATCCTAAAACTTTGTTAGCGCATAAGTCCATAAGATATCACGGTCCAGACATTTGGAATGCACTCCCTAGACATGTTAAACAGTGTACATCTCTCTATTCATTTAAAGCTACACTAACAAAAACACATTATTTCACAATATAATGTATAAAGATTTAAAAAAAAAAAAAAAAAAAATTAAAAGCGTTCTTTGTAAAACTTTAGAAACTACATGTACATTAAATTTTGGTCTGACGTTACATAGTAATACTGATGATTCAACATTTTGGCGCATAAGGACACTTGCACTTGCACACACATGCACCACTCGCACCCTTGTTTTTGTTTAGTTTCTCTCTTTTTTGGGAAAATTGGGTGGATAGTGAATCTTTACAATTTTGATATATTTGGATGCCCCTGTGGATGTATTACATGTATAAGCACTAAAAAAATTAGCCCCTAAAACACTTCTGTCTTCGAGAAAAATTGAATATAAAAATTTACCGGTGCTCCCGGTAAATTTTGATAAATTTCAAATAGCACATATGGCCTTACAATCGTAGCTGCGACCATGAAAATCTCAGAATATGTACATGTAGTTGGGATATATAATTTCCAAACGGGAATAGCTAATCGGTCGATTTCAGTCAAGAAACATTGTTTCATAGCTAAATTAATATCTTGACCTTGAGAGGGAGCTATACAACATAAAGAGTTTATTATTTATAATTTCATAACTTTAGACTCGATTTCAACCTCGACAACGATCAATGTATATTGTAGGAACGCATATGCTTCCAATATGTTAATTTGAACCAAATTCATGACCCCATACCAAAACTTTGTAATACCTTTAACGTATTTTAGTAGCCATATAAATATGAGATTCATATGCTAATTCTATAATTATTTATATTGAATACAACTGTTTATATTCACATTTAATTGTAATATATATCATTTGAGTATCATGGCCCCCTCTTCTTGTTAATTTGCCAAAATTTCCCAACTCATTTTTATCTTAGCTCGGTTGACCGTCTACTCAAGCTTTTGCTTATAACGGCGACCTTCTGCTTTACACGCAATGGCCCAACGTATAAGTTTACTCTTACTCATGTATTATACATCTGTTTCTATATTTTGTATATTGTTTGTATACCTTATGTTTGATATACAGTGTAATTATACATATTCGTGTATAACTGATTTGTTTGATTGCAGAAAATAAAGTCTTTGAAATGAATATTAGGTCTTATAAATCGTTTGGTGATTATTAGACCAGATGAATAGTAGACAAAATGGGCATTTGACAAACTGGGAATTGGACCAACTGGAAATTGGACTAAATAAGCAATAGACCAAATAGGTTGGTAGAGACTTATTGGAGATTAGACCAAATGGCTATTAGCCTAAATGGTCATTAGACCAAATGATATTAGTAGACAACATGATTATAAACCTGTGGATAGTAGACGGGCTGGGTGTCGACCATAAGGGAATCAACAACTTGGGTACTAAGTTACTACTTAGCTGATACAAAAAATAGCCAACTTAAAGTGAATACAATGATCTTTTCTGTGTTGTACAGGTAGGTCACCTTGTTTCATTATCTGACCATCACAAAGGCATCACATCACAAAACAGTGAGAAGAGTTTGGTGCAAAATATAGAGAAAACATGTACATGTAACTGCCACAATCAGGCTTTTAATAATTCTTTTTTGAGAATTCAGATTTCAATACATTTGTTACAGAAATTATAAAAGATTTCAGAATACAAGACGCACACAAAACTAAAGTACAAACATACATGTACGTACAATCAAGGCCTTCATTTGGGGGGCAAATTAAATTAATTTGACATGGTATGAAATTATCAGAAAACAAGAAATAACCAAAGACAAAACAGTCGTCTTATAATTACTTACATGTACTTGTACATTAAAGACTGAAGCCCTTGTGATGTACATGTACAAACAGTACCTACTGTAGCTATGTAATTTGTAAAACTAAAGTGCTGTGCTTAGTGACACTGTGATTATTTATCGCAAATCTGTTTTCCTTATCACAAGTACAGTACAAAGGTGAAACTTGAGAGCGTTGCAGTACAGCCTTCAGTGTAGGACTGTTTGATACAGGGTAATATCAATTAGCAAGCCTTATCTCTTCAATTAATAACTTTGAAAATCAGTGTTTGGAATTCAGAGGGGGGGGGGGGGAAGAACCTCTCGGCTCCCACTACATGTACAGTAATTGCAATACAGAATATTTCAAGTGTTCTAGTAAAAACAAAAACAGGGTATCAAAAATCTAGACAAAGAGACCATCTCCAAATATGTATTATAAGATGGGTAGAAGAATCCCTGCAATCTGATTGGTCAATTACCATGTAATTATTTTTACTGGATGCACGCGATATCGGCGATCGATACCACCAATATCCTTTTTTTTTATAATTCTCTTCTTTTTTTAAAATTTTTTCTTTGTTTTATATAAACAAAAATTTTAATGATTTTTTTTGATAATTTTTTTTGGGTGATAATTATTTGTTTTTCGTGTTTTTGATAATTATAATCTGTTAATTTTTTTTTTTTAAATTCTATAATTTTTATTGTTCAGTTTAAAGCTTACAGTTAATGTGCAGACCCTATAATTTATATCAATCTCCACTGCCAGACATGGGCCAGATTGATTGACTGAAGACTGTATTAAGGTTAATTTGGTGAAATGTATTTGCCTAGTTTTTGATGCAGCATGGTGACCTGACACTTCTCTTCTCTTCTCTTCTTTTCACCACACTCGACCTCCCCCTCCCCTGCTCTCTCTCTCTCTCTCTCTCCCTCTAGGCTTAATCTGAATCAGATATAAAGCAGTGCCAGTACTCCAGTAGCCAGTAAACTACAGCTTTTTTATTTCATTAAAATATAACAATAGATGCTATTGCAGCTTTATTATTTTCATAAAACTTATCTAATAAATACTACAGTTATTTACCCCATAACTGAACAAGGCTTTAGACTTAAAGTAGACCTATGTAGAGTCTAGTCCACAATAAAATGGAACGACTGTGGCATTCATGTACACACTGTATCAATCAAGGTAAACAGATACTGTACAGTGAAGTAATATTACATACACTGTAGATTGAGAATGGGTGTTCTTCAACTGAACCAACAAAAGGCTAAAGTGGGTTTATGTGAAACAGAAAATATTGTGACATCAGTGAAACAGAAGAACATTTTATATTTTATTGTAATAAATCATTGAACGAGCAATGCTTTTCTCAGATTTAGACACAAAAACAAAGAACAGGTCGCTTCAAATAAAACAAGAGGCCTCATTAATAAGTATACATGTACCCACAAGTAAAGTAAAATAAGCCTAAAGTTCTGTTCCCCCTCGCTTCTTTAGGAGAAGAAAAGAAGGAATAAATAAAGAAATATAATGCATGTATATAGGCCTATGAATATAATATGAAAGAAAAATGTTCAAATTTTAATTTGTTCTATTTTAGATACTAACCAAAAGCACAT